GCGCATGAGACAAGAAAGTCAAGCACATACCTCAAGCGTTTTGCATGAGTAAGAAATTCATGTGCAGGGAGACAAATCTTGAGGTATGTGCTTGCTCATGTGCTTGAGAAAAAAAGCTTCACTAGGGAACTTATCTCTCTTTTCCCATTTCACTTCCAGTTATATGCCTGATGATACTAGATTAGTATCGAAAGCTCCAAAAAATGTAAAACGCCTTTACTTAACGTGTTTGCAATTGTATTTTCTTAAAAAAAGTAAAAAGACAAAAAACTATTAATGTATCAGAAAAAGAATCTAATAATTTTATTCAGAAAACAACAGAGTAAAACCTGTACTGATATTGTTTGATTTATTTGGTTTAGATTGTTTGGTTGATCGTTTGGTTTAGAATATAATTTTAGAATTGGTAAAGAGTGATGAATCGAGGTGTCTTAATTTTCTGAACCCTTAAAAAAGGTTTTGCAATGAGTTTTCGACCCCTCCGATAACTTTTTAGTTAGCTGTTCGGGACCCTTTTCTGAACCCTGAAAAAAGGCTTAAGAGAGGGTTTTTGACACCTCCGATACCTCTTTCGGTACCTCATTGCAACACTTTGTAGGAAATTTGATTTTGCCGAGAACTCAGCTTCTGCCATCATTTTGAGTTCGCAGTAGATTAGGGTAGATGCGAGCAAATGAGAGTAGGAGATTTGATTTCGCCGAGAACTTAATTACTACTATTTTTCTGAGCTCGCGGTAGATGAGGGTAGGAGATAGACTTTCGCAGCACACTTAACTTCTACTATTTTTTTGACTTCGCGGTACAAGAGAGTAGACGGGAGCAGGAGATTTCATTTCGCTGCGAAGTTAACTTCTGCTATCTATTTGAGTTCGCGGTAGACGATGGTAGATCATAGTAAATGAGCGTAGATGAGAGTAGGAGATGTGATTTCGCCGCGAACATAACTTCTCCTCTCCTTTTCAGTTCGCGGAAGATGCGAGTAGGAGATTTGATTTCGCCGGCAAGTTGTCGATGTCTGCTGTGCAGGCAGAAATGACATTTGAAGTAGATTCTCCAGGAATCTGACTAATGAACGGGAAAACGTGTTCTCGTGGTGTAGTGGTTATCACATCTGCTTAACACGCAGAAGGTCCCAAGTTCGATACTTGGCGAGAACATTCTTTTTTCTTCCGGTCTTCCACGGACCTGAACTATTACTTTTTTTTTCAGTCGACTGAGTGAAACGAAAGGAGACTTATTGCTTTTATAGCACGATAATGAACCAGCTGATATATCAATGTGAATAATATGCCATAGAAGGTACATAGACAGTTATGACTTTCTGGGTATTCTGATTTCGTCTGATTATCATTCCACCCAGTCGACTTTCCAATTTTTGCGCTGCATAGTTCTTTCTTTCCATACCGTTTTCTGATTCGAATCAGCTACTCGTTCTAGGTTATAACTAATTATAGAAATTCGGGAAAAATATCAGTCTGATACTTGTAGATGACAAATCTGAAGTTAATGCGAATCCGAAAGATGCGCATCACGAAACTTGCGCATGGAAAGATGCGCACGAGAGACTTCTTTACTCTATCGTCACATATATTTTGTCTTAAAAATTTTTAACATTCTGACTAGTTAACCCAAAGTTTTTTCTTTTAAAATTCAAAATGTTTTAATTTAAATTTAAATTCTGCTCAAAATTTTGTTTTGAAATTCTCTTGCGCTTATTCCATGCAGAATGGCATCAGCTACAACCTCTCTAGCTAAAATTTTTCTTGAAAATTCTTTCTTATTGTGCAATCGTTGGCTAGGTTTTCAAAAATTACTTTTTATGCTTAAAAGTAGAAAAAACACTCTTTTAACAATGGTTTACTTAAAAAACCTAAGTCGTTGGAAAACTTTTCAAGCTTTTTAAAACTTATTATATATAATCAAAGATTGTCTACAAAACAACTCTACAGCGACGTTGATGGGACATTACAATAAAATATAATGAATTATTTTACAGTACTATAGAAATCTTAATTAAATTAAATTATTAAGTATTGAATTACTTCTAAATTGTGTATTTCAGACATAATAACGGAGATCGGACAACCACTCCAGGTCATAGCCCACACTATGTCAAAATATAGACCGTGTGTGTGGAACCCTCCCTTAATAATCGTAAAAAGACCATTGTGGATATTTCCGAGCGCCGAAAACTTGCATCTTAGCTTAGATCGTAGATCAGTTCTCCTTCTCTGCTTTATCTATCAAAGAACGTATTTCATTCTTAAATTGTCTGTCTATTAAATTTTTTAGAGATCAAAGTGAAGAACTCGCAATAGCAGTACCCACATCAAACGTAGCAGTAACAGCAATAATCACAAGCGCAACAATGACGAACAATGAATCTGCTAATCTTGAAACTAGTAGTATTTTAAAGTGTATCAACTCCGATTCATTGTTATTAGAAAATTTGATAGCAGCTGGTGAGTTCTTGTATGTTAATAAAATCTTGAAAGATATATCAAATGATATTATTCATCGTTCAGTTTCTGAGGAAAAAAATCTATCAGAATTTATTCAAGAATGTTTAATTCCAATTGTGTTTCTTCTTAAACGTCAACAAAATCTTGATGATTTATTGTATGACGGCTTTTCTAACTGTTTATGAACGAGCTAAACGGGAAACGACAGTTACATTAAATTTACGTACGTTTTTACACGTTCTGCTCTTGAATAGTGATACATTTTTAAGTCGTATTATCATGTCGTTAATTAGTAAACGTAATCCTGTACCATTTGTTCAACTAAGCATTGGAAACTGGTACTCAAATGATCGATATGAAATTATCCCATCTATAATACATGTATAGGATCATACACCATCAACACTTATCTTTTGGCATTGATAATGATTGTCGTGGTAAATCATCGTTACTGAACACACTATTTCAATGTACATTTGAATAAAGTTTTAATAATATTTATTTTCAACAGACAATTGATATTGATTTTGATTATTCATTTATACCAGAAAAAGAACGACCAGTTAACATTGTCGATTGTCATGATGAAAGTAGTCTTGATTTATTAGTAAAAATACACACATTATTTAATGGGTATTTGATACCCATTAGCGCTCAACAGTTAAAACAACATCCAAATACCTTAGCTGAGTATTTATCAGCATTACCAAGTAATAAATTTGACTTTATACTTGTACGTGATATCACGTCTGTATCTAGTACAGCTGACATACGACGCGAATGTAAAATGATTGTTGACTCCTATAACCTTCTCCCGACTCATCGATACCCAGTATTTCCATTAATCAACATGTCAAATACAAATGATCGGCAAATACAATACACACTACAGAATTTACGCGAGCAACTTATTTCATCCGTTAAAAATCAAATTCATGCAGTTATTGATAAACAAGTCTTTGAAAATGATTTACAAAAATTATTACATCCAAAGTATATTCAATATTTGACTAAAACTAATTCTATTATTAGATCGCTGAAGCAACACTTGGTTGATAAAGATTTAGATCATCAAAATCAAAACAATTTTCCTTTGTATTTAAAATTTATAAAACTGTGCAAATTGAGACAACAATTAAAGAAAACTGATTTCTATGGATCGAATGATGAAGCTGCATTCAATTTAACTCATGATGCGTGTAAATTAGAAAATAAACTTAATCCAGAATTATTATTAAATCATGATACGGTTAGTACTATCTTTGATATGTTTATTGAAATATTAAAAAGTGAACATCGACTGATGAGTTTAAATTTATTATCCTCGAAATTACAATAGAAATTATTAAGACAAAGTCTTGTTAGTAAATTAGCTGGCAATTTGTCAGTTACATATTCATTTCTCTTTTAGGAAGTTCTTTGGCGTAATGCTGTTGTGTGTTATGATTATACGACAGTCGAGAATAAAGAGTTAATCTTAGAATTATATGTAAAATATATTAAAGCTGATTCTTCATTTGAATGGTGATCAATTCTGTTTTCAAGAGCGATTTCTAACAAAATATAAATAAGCGAATATAAATAACCATGTGGAAGCCATAAATAAAATTATCTACAATTTAAAAGATAAAGATTTAGGTGATATGACCGATATCAGTCGTGAAACATTTCACACATTACCATCAGCTTTCAAGCGAGAACGTCTATCAAATGCATCAGATGGTCAATGCCTTCTACATATAGAGCCAGAATTTATTGAACAAACACAACGATTCGTTTCACAAATTACTAAATCTGTGAAAACATGCTATGACCGAGCAGATAATACAAGTTTTACACCACCCTAAATGTTTTCTCTTTTTCGCTAGAAATTAGTTTTCACCATTTTTCGATTCATTTCATTTTCATTTAGACAATGGCTATCGACATCGTTTACAATATTCGAAATCTTACAAAAATTACCAGATTTAACATATTTCATAGATATCAGTGAGCGACGACAAGACGACAAAATAAGAAAACAAATAGCAAATTTGCTAAAAGAGTTTTCATCGGACGATAGACAGAAAATGATTGATCAACACTGTGATAAACGAGAAGATGAAATAAAAGTTATTTCGAGTAACGTTTCAATGACATTAAGAAAATTTTAGTGATAAATTAGAAAATATCTTCAAATTGGAAAATTTTATTTATCTGAACAAAGAAATATTGTTTGAAATATTCGAAGAAAGACAGCATCAGTCTATGTCGTCGCATTCAACGAGCGCTCGTACTCCAGGATTTAGGCAAAAGTCAGTACAATTCGCACAACATGCATACAAAGCTCTAAAGTCTATGCTATCTGTTACGTCCAAATCGACTTCAAAATCACTTGATATCGGTGTTAGAAAAGACACGAGTCGTATAATAATGACTCAAATGAATGATGATGACAAGCCGCTTGGTCCATCAAAAATTGTGCAATTACAAGTGTTTTTTGATGAACTTTTCGAAAAGTTATTCAACTTGATTACAAATAACGGCGTTGTTCGCCCGGCTGAAACTGAATTAATACAAATGATTATTGGTCTAATCACTGAAATGATACACGAGCTTAATCTTGAATTAGCCGTCTTTCATTTATCATTATCAAAACGTTTATCATCATCAATTCACGTCAATGTGCTCATCTTACTTACCGTATTACACTATCAAGAACGGCATTTTTCTGAACAGGTTGATAGAATGGATAAAGAAAAGCCGCGTCTTCTGAACTATTTTATCAACATGGTAGGTATCGTCCCGATTCGTCGACAAATCGGACACTTCAAAGAAAATACATCAGAGAATTTCAAAGGCGGGAGGGGCGGTGTGAGAGTGAGTGTCGACGAATCGGGACTGAATCACATGGTAGTACCGGATGCTGCATGCGATATAGATGGTGGAGAAATATTTATTGATTAGTTTTTTAATTCTATTGAGCGTAGTTTATCAAACTCATCACATAAAATTATTAAAAATAATCTTCAGACACAGCAAAATTTGAGTAGAAAAGAATTACAACAGATTTGTAATGGAAAACTACAGACTGCTGATGAACGATGGATATTAAAATATATTCAACAGCCTACAGATACGGTGGTTGAAGAATTTCATCTGCATTGGAATAATATCGAAAAGGTTATTCATCAGCAGGTACAAAGAGAGAAAAATCAACAGCGAGGACTAATAGTTATAAACTTTTTCCATATTATCGGGTCCTTGTCTTCGGCTTTAATTAACCAAGGAAGTGTAGCAAAGTTTGTTGATGAACTTTTCTTATCATCAGCTGGTGTCGCAGATGAAAATTTAAAAAATAAAGGACAATGTATGGTCTCCGGGTTATTTGCATATTTAAAAAATATTTCACTACCGATGTCGTTTACCGTATCCAATAATTCTTACACATTAAGTCCGAAAGGTGTCAACTATTTTCAAAAATTACCGAAACCTAATCAAAAATTATCTAACCTTATCGATTTAATGAACAAAACAGACAACAACAATACTGTTCGAAATGAGGTACCAATTACATCAATTAAAAACTTTTGTTTCTTCTTGGAAAGTATCATAGCAACTGAAAATAAATTTATGGAAAAATATGATGCTATACCAACTATATTTGCACATTATGATAAAGATCAATCTTATATAAAACTGCTGGATAAAGCACGTGGCTGTAATGCAAAATGTAAGCTTCTTCCTTTAAGGTAAATAATGCGGGAAAAAGTTTCTTGTGACCTCTTTACACTTTTTTTTTTTTTGATAGGTCCATGTTGTCTACGTCCGTGCGATGTTGATCATGGCCTCGTAAAATCACACCCTGGTATGTATAAGTGCTGTACCCTTCTTTCCTAAGTTAAAACCTCAAAATACTTTTATATTAGGTAGGTTTCACTAGAAATAACCGTAGGCTAATTCTAAAACAGCCCCATCTGTAACGATCAGTAAAAAGAAGACAAGAGCCCAATGGCTGCAGAAGAGTAAACCGTTTTTAAAGAATCGTACAGAAATTTAATAAAAAAACGGTTGACGATCCTGCAGCAATTCCAAGGGCCGAACTGCACAGTGAAAAATCGGTTCAATTGCCTATCATTTATTCTATAAGATCGCTAGAGCTAAAGAAACATAGTTCACTTGAAAACTACCTTCTGTGTTTTGCAGCTGATAGATTTTACTTTTATTTCAGGTGATGATGGTAATAAACATAGCTGTACCACAGGTCATCAACTACGTGCGTTCTCCGGTATAAAATTTGAAATTACAAATGAAGCGAGTTTAAAACAATGGGATCAAATTGATAATAATGATTATATTTTTGTCAGGGGTACGAGAAAGAAATGGTTTGAAATGAAATTTGATTATCCAGCATGGGATTTTGATTTGTTAACAACGATCGAAGAATCAAATAGATTAAAATCTAAATTTTTGTATGTCTGGTTAAAAGTTGGAAGTCTTCTGTGAAAAATTTAGTATGGATTACGTAACAATTAACACAGCACAACCAGCACTAGCGGCTTATCACTATGTATTATTGTTAGATAGTTCAAGGTCTATGAATGGCGACAGATGGCAAAATTTATGCGCCGGTGTTAGTAAATTAGTCAAAGCACGAATGACTAGCGGTACAGCTGATCGTTGTACAATTACAGATCAAGACACTGTTCACGGAATCGCGCACCGACTCGACCAGCCATGACTGCTGCTAGGTCGTCTGCAAAGAAGAAAGACAAACACATGTTCATAAACTCACTCATGTCCGAGTGATAGGTGATGAACAGTGTTGGCTTGAAGCATGGTCCTTGCGGACCGCCTCTTAAGATAGGGAAAAATCTCGACCTTCGACCGAAGATCTCTATGAAAGCCTTTCGACATTCAAGCCAAGAACGAATCTACTCGCAAAAGGCCCTCGGAATTCCTATTCTCGCCAGCTTTCCCAGACATCCCTCAAACCACAATTGATCGAATGCGGATTTAAAATCCACGAAAACAGTAGCTACTGGAGAACTGTTAGACATTAGGGAAAAAATAGAATCAATAAGAAGAAGCACTCTGGTCTGTAAACGGAAATTGGCACGAAAACCCGATTGTGTGTCGGGCAGAAGACCTCTATTTTGTAACACTTCTACAAATCTAGACATAAATCGTTTTCCCTGCACTTTTAAAAACGCATCCAAGAGAGAAATAGGACGGGTTAAAGAAATAGGACAAACAGACTCTTTTTTAGCCAGAAGAATCATTCTCACCTCTTTCCAAAAGGTTGGATGAACACACGATGAAAAAGACAGATTGAACAGTTAGACAAATAAAAGCCAGTAAGGTGTTGGGATAAATTTGAGCAGAAATGTAGACAGTCCGTGGGCATCTACTGAATGTTTCCCAGCTGACATAGCATCTAGGACTTCTTCAAAAGAAACTTCAGGAATTTTTTGATTCTCGTTATCATAAAGAATGGAGGGCGAGTCAACATACGGATGGGGACGAATGATTTCAGGCTCAGCAAATAAATTTGCATAGTAGTCCGCTGCGATTTCCAGCATTTCAGACGGCTCACGGACTATCACATCTGTACTAGAAATCAAAGCCTGCAGAGAAGATGAGGACGGTTTAAAATGGCGCTTGGTTTTCGCCCAAAACTGAGCTGGACAGTGTGATGATAGATTTCTCATTGACAAACATTTTAATAACTGGTTGGAAAGGTACACCTTTAGTTCTCGTTTGATAGAATTTCTTAGCAATCGTACAAAATCGAGAAGCTCGACACCCCCAGAACGTTTAGCACGAAAAGAGAGAGCACGACAATATGACATTTTACATCTCAACTCAGATGGAAGTGATACCTGGTACTTATTAATGGGAAATATAGTGGTGCATCGGGCCAGCAATAGAGACAGAAAAGTAACATAGTTTGAGTAAACATCATTATAGTACACAAGATTCCATTGTGCTTCCCAATATTTAAAAACAACAGACAAGAAAAAATAAAACACATTCCAATGTACTTTTTTTCCTGTGTCTACAGTTTTATTTTCACAAGAAATTACATATAAGATTGGTTTATGGTCACTAGTTGTTGACCTCTCGTATGTCTGCACAGTCACAGGAACACCTGCACTTAACACATAGTCGATTATTCTGTCTGAGCGCAGAGAAGTGGGAAGATCCGGCAGAAAAGGAGAAAGTGAACATGAATCAGCCCACTCAAGTAGAGAGATAGATTTCGAAGTGTCCTTTTCTAGATCAACATTGAAATCTCCGCAAAAAACACAAAACGAAGTGGTAACAATCGATAGATCTGTCCAATTCCATTCCTTACTCTCAGGAGCATAGATTCCAATTATTCTCAAATTTTTTTCGAATAGGAGATCTACCGCACAGACATTTGGGATGTTACACTCGACTTTTTTCGTTTTTATATCATTTCTTACTAAGACTATAACACCACCAAAGCCGTTTTCACCTTTTTGGTAGAAACTTTGTGTTTTGTAAAAACTTTACATATCCAAGTCACATCAATTGTTCCCACCTCGACCAGAACTATAAGATCGAAATTGAAGGAAGAAGAGAGTATAAGAACCTCTTGCCAACGAATACTCAGGCCACGCACGTTGAACGAGAGGCAGAGGAGAGAAGAACAGAGCGATGACAGATCATAGCGTACATGTTTTTTCCACTCTAAGAAACACGAGGTGAGAGTGGAAAAAGTTTTCCATTCTTTAACAATATCCAGTAATATCGAAAAATCAAAATGAGAGAGTCCTTTCAGCTTCTAGGAGCACGTTTTTCCTATCATCGTCCACTTGTTGAGAGAGATTCGAACCTGGAATAAAATTGGCTGCATGTGGTGACAGTATCATCAGATTGGAGAAGTAAACAGCGAGTCATCAATGTATTTACCTATAATCCGGCGACCTCGATTTAGTTTCGATTTCAGATCAACATCTAATGTTCTTCCATGGGGAGCATTTAAACTATCAATAAATAAAACTATCAAATATTGGCATGATGAATTTTTTCATCGTATTTATATGGACTGAATGTTTAATTTCCGTTGCTTTCAATTCCGTCAGAATATTCTTATTTGTTTCGACGGTATTTTTCATGAATTTTTCGAATTGTTTGTTTAAGTCCACAATTTTTTCACATGTTGTAGTTATTTTGTTTAGTTGTTCATTCAAGATAACGATTCGTTGGTCTATATCGGCTAATTTTGTTTCGAAAATAGCAGAGACACCAATCGTAGTGCGTTGAGATTGAGGTTAGGAGGGAAATTGTAGTAACGATGAGTTGTTGTAGTTGACAGGCGTTGCAGGTGACGCAAGTAATTGTTTCGTCAGATTTGCTCGAAATGATTTGACGATTGGACAATTCATCTCGTTTGATTTGTGTTGACCACTGCAGCGAATACACTTAATTACTTGAGAGCATGTATGCTGTTTAATATCGGTACATTTATCCCCACATGTACGACATGTTTCATTCTGTTCTTTACACTGTTTTCTAAAATGTCCAATACCGCAACATTTTGTGCAGATTAAAACACGTGCTTGAGCTAAATATTCTTGTACATCATATCTGATATAATGGACAGTTACATAACCACGTTCTAACCATTCATTTCTTGTTTTATTTGACATGAATTCCACTTTCACAAATTTTGTGTCCTTCATAAATTTATTCTGTAAACGAATGACATTGACAACATCATCATGATTCAGTCTTATTTCATTCGCAAAATCATCAATATTAATTCTATATGCTACATTTGCAACAATCATACATAATTGAGGAGGTATTGATGGTTTCTTTTCGAGAATGAAATTTAATTTACACAATTGTTGTGGCCATACATCTAATTTATATAAGAATACAAATGATTCAACATTTTTAACAAATAATAGTAGGTTGCGTTCATCTTGTGAACACCGTGCTGTTGAAGAACGATATCCAGCTAGCTCTAAATTAAATTGATGTTGATCCTTTAGATATTTTGATAACTCTTCCACCACCTGTTTCTCATTGATTTGTCCAGATGAAAAATGCAACACAAACGGTGGGAATGGGTACCGAGTTTCTGCAGATCGAAAGGCTGAATCCGAGATATTATCCTGTTGATTATTCAATTCATTGTTGTGCTGATCATTTGACCGCGAAGTTGAATGATTCATCGCATGCTGATTGTTTGTTTTCTGATATTTACGATTACGTTCTATTGTTTTTGTTGTGGGATCATTTATAAAATCATTTAGTTCATCATTCTCTTCTTCCATATTACCAAGAGTGCGTCGATTTTTGGGTGTAGCAGGAACTGTCACCGGTTGAGGGTTGGATAGTTGCACTTGATTACTCATCGTTGTTGTAGATGACGTAGCTAAACATATATTTGGATTCAGCTTGTCAAACTGCATTTGACGAGACTGTTTTCAGCCGTGACACACGTCTGTGAGACAATCTTTCGTATAAACAGGGTGTAATAGTACTAGCTTTGTAAGTATTTTTCACTTTTCAGATTTGCAGAAGCTGCTCAGGTAACATGAAGTATACCATTCGAACAGAGCTCGCCGAAATCTATAAGACACACTAGCTTTTATCAGTGACACAGTCCCGTGAGAGAATATTTGCCAAGCATATTAGTTTGTTAAATGTGTTCCCGTAGAAAATACTACTATTTGCTCAGTAACTGTGTCCCATGGAAGGATCTGCTTATTCCGAGTAGTGCAGTTATGTAGAGCTCATCGAGTTCTCTGTGACACACGCAATAACTTTTATGGCACGCGTTTGTGTGAAAATGTTTCCTAAAATTATTAGAATATCAAGCTAACTTATCCTACTTATGAGCTGCACAAAGCATTAGTATTAGTTAGCCTTGTTATTGTTGAATATTTGGTTCCATGGAGGAAAAGAGGACATTAAAAACTCTTTTAAAGAAGAAAAAATTTGATTTCAGACCGCGTGATATTTTCAGTTTTCTGAAGTTACTAACAAAGTTTGTAGACATTCGAGTAAAAGAACTAAACTCGTAACATACTTGTTGTAATTTTACTTCGTAATAGAGTAATAATAAGTGTTATTAAAACAGCAATAAGTGATAAACAACAAAAACAAGCAGACGAATGGCAAACCGTGCGACATCTTGGTAAAGTAGGAATGAGCAAAAAGTTAACGCAAAATCGCTAACCTTAACTTGAATAATTACGCACCGGTAGAGTTTTCGTTTTTTCCACTTTCTTTCTTTGTTTAAGATAATATTTTTTGATTCAGTTAACCATGCATTTCTATTACTCTTTGTTGGGTGCGTAACTGATAACAATATCTTAATTAAAGTGAAGATGTTGTTCATAGATAGATATTTTAGATAAACGTTTTCTAGATGTTTATCTATCATAAAGCTACTGTTGATAACATTGTAAATTACTCTATCTTATACAGAATCATGCGCTCTACAAAATGCGCCATATACTCAAGGGGGAAAAACGTTATAAAAAATAGAATAGTGGAAACAAAATCGAACGTTTAAAGTTGTACAAGGGCAATTATCAAAGAAGAATATTAGTTAGGCATTAGCTGCCGACCTAATAGTTCTAACACATGCATGTGCATTAAAATATGTACAAGAAAAAAGATCTCATACACCTCTAGACTTCTTTTTATGAAGTAACATAAACATTCAATACCACGTAAGTTTTGAGCAAAAGAGAAATCTGTTACTTTTTCATACTATGAGGAGGAAAAATTAGCAACCGCTACGGATTTGTCGCTGTTCACCGATACACATTCGCCGATTGGCGAATGTCCACGAAAATTGGCGAATGTCGCGTGAACATTCGCTAATACTTTAGGGATATTGGCGAAAGGGGTATCATTATTGGCGAATGTCTCGGCGACATTTACCAATCGCCAATATGGCGAATGTCTGTTGGTGAACCAAGTGGCGAAAGACGACTTTACTATCACTACTGCTCAGATCCTGTTCAAACAGGAAAATAAACGTGACACTTAAAGTGACTAAGTGACGCTTAAAGTGACTGTCACTTATAAGTGTGTGCACCCTTTTGGGAGGTCGTTTCCCCCTTGCATATACTCCTATGCGTAACCGTACATTATTTTCCCGAAAGACTAATCAGAGAGTGCCTGTTGATGGGCATAATCGTATTTGACTAGAATAATGTACCAGACGTCCGTCTGATCCGGGCGTCAGTTTCTTTGCGCAGACGGTGTAATGGTTTGAATTAAGACTATGGAATTATTCATGTCATCTTTCTTTTCTTTCGACTAGTCTAGGCGGGTACAGCGGACAAAACAGACTAGTCATGACGGGCCGAAGAGACACTCTAGACCAGTCTATATGGGTTATACGGACATTTGCTAAAAACTGGACTGATAAAGTTTGTGTCTGAACCATCTGATAATAGTGACCAAGTTTGTTTAACATTAATTGCTCATGATTACCATATTCTATAATGCCACCATCAGCAATAATATATATACAATCAGCATTGCGTATTGTTGATAAACGATGCGCTATGGTTATTGTTGTGCATCCTTCTCAAGCAAACTCAAGACCAATTTAATGATAAACGTCACTTACTCTGTCTCCTCCTTACCTTTACTAGCTTTATCCAGTGCTTGTTGTACAATTACTTCGTGTAAATTATCCAGCGCCGAGGTTGCCTCATCTAACAGTAATATTTTTGGATTGTCAATGAGTGCTCGAGCTATAGCAACTGTTATTAAACAAAAACGTATTTTTCTCTAACTTATAATTCAAGTTATAATATTTTGAAAGTATTTACTTCGTTGCTTTTCACCTCCGCTTAAGCATACTCCACGTTCCCCAACTATCGTGTCGTATTTCTGAATCAACAAGCAAAGTTAGAACATAAAAGAATGGTAACTCTGACACACGAAATTCACATACCTTCGGTAATTTCATAATGAAATCATGCGCATCTGCCTGTTTAGCTGTTTCATGTATCTCACTCATCAATATGTTTTTTCTATTACTACCATAAAGAATGTTTTCGTAGATTGTTGTATCAAACAATATCTAAGAATAAATTAGTTTTCTAACCAAAAAGATGAGAAAAAATGCATCCCATAATACAAGATTTCTAAGAGATATGCTACAAAAGGACGATCGCATAAGATTGATAATCGACCCATTTCAACTTTTGCCTAGAAACGGTTCCGTGAATAGTAGAAAAAAGGTTTTTATTGGATTTTAAGTGACTTTGTGTACTTTTGGTATCTAAAATCTGAGTGATTCCTCGTCAATAGAGCGCCAATAGCTCACTTATCAGCGATCAGCTGTATGTTACGTAAAAGATGTTTTTCTTATGTTTCTTTCACATAGATGACGAAATAAATATATCACTGGATAGCCGCTAAAATTCTCCACAGAACGTGTGTAAAGTAACAGTTAACCACAGTGCTTTGACAGTAATGGAGCGCTTAGAAAAATTCTACATACACAATATAGTAGACGATCCTCGCTTGTGTGGTTACTTTTTTTTTCAAATAAGAAATAGATTTTTTCTTATATTTCTTCTTTAGCACAGCTACTCCTGACCAAATATAAGTCATTTGGTTATTTGATTATTTATGACTTACAAGTCATTTTGTTTTATCTATTCTGTTATATGCGTCACCAATTCTCTCATCTGCGCCTGCATATCAAATCCAATTGTTATATCGATTACAGTGTAAAGCTGCACATATTGTCTCAGGAGCTATACAGGCTGTGATCGAACTAAAATGCTTGCTGTCCTTGGATGGAGAAGTATTATTGATATTTTTGAATATCATAAAATAGTATTATTGCAGAAGATTATATATGGTCATGCGCCAATATTCCTGTCCAAAAGAATCCATTTTTCTAATAATCCTCAATATGATCTGCGGTCTAATAATGTTAAAATTACTTTTTAAGTAACTCATCTATACGTTCAGCTAATTTTATGAAAACTTTTTTTCCATCATCCGTACAGACTTGGAATACCCTACCTCACGAACTAATCCAACCTCAACATCCTAGATGTTTTAAAAGAAATTTTTCAAAATGGAAATTCCAGTCTGTTGTTCCAACATTTCGGATACGTAATACGCTAAGAACTGCTGATATTGTTTTCGACAAATGCGAACTAGACTTACTACGCTAAATTATAACTTACTACCGTCATTTATTAAACTATTTATCTGACGATGATCCAAAAACGACAGATAAATGTGCATGCGGTGCAAAGGAAACTGTACATCACTACTTATTACTTTGTCCTATCTATAACACCGTGAAGCCTGGAATCATATTCTATCGGTTCAATATTAGATGTTTTCATGACTCGCCGTTATACCCAGGGAACTTTTGTTCATTTTTTTCAATGAAGCTAAAGAGGATCTCTAATCGTTCATACATCACGCGAAGCGCCTTGGAAAGGTCTATAATACTGCCAGGCTTCGTTAACCTTCCTATTAACACATGATATATTGAACTAGGCTTAATGTTCGATGATTACAGAGAATTGTTGATTTTACAGTTACACTGTTGGTGCTATAAAAACATCTAGTATTAAACCGATAAAATAAAGATAGTGGGTCGATTTGACATATTCTCCGCACTTCACCTTTCCGTCTGTTTCAGTCACACCTTTATCTGGTCTAGGAAAAGGTAGAGATTACAGACGATACAATTGGGATAGTCTGAGAGATAGTTACTGTTCTTCTCTTCAATTTCCATTATCAACTGACGTGTGGATAGTTTGTTAAACACTTCTGAGACGCTTGTTGAAAATGACATTCAATCTCATGCCCCCTCAAAACTTCGAAAATGAAATCAAAATTATTTGTTATACCAAGTAAAAAAGAAATGAAGGGTATATCGATCATATAAGAGGAGGATGATCAAAGGGACCTAGAGGTTAATTTAGTAAAATAATCCTGAGAATCCAGAATAGTCAGGTTGTTGTAAATCTATAAAATGATATGAGTCGAAAGTACTGGACTCTGACTTTGAGATGGGGCAAGCGTAGTTTATTGACTAAAGATAGACTATCATTTGCAATTGAAGTTGTTGGTAATAATGCGACTTGCTAAACGTTGAACCGCCTCTAATGGCTCAAGATGCGTGGTGAATTTAGAATCGTAAATAGCACTACAGTAATCGATTTTGGGTAAAATGCATGGAAGATATAGAAGTAAGCGATTTGACCGAGGGGCTTCTCAGAAAACTGGATTAATAACACTAAGCATTTTATCACAAGATATTGCTACTTCGTTGATATGTGTTGACCATTTCAAATCGTGAGAAAGATGTATGCCCAAAAGTTTAGGATCGGTATTGGCCGAGAGCTTATACACTTAACTTGAAATCAGGCTTAACTTTTGGATCAAGAGAAAGATAAGTGTATTAATATTTGTTAACGTTGAGTGACATAAGATTGTTTAGCGTGAATTAAGTGAATACACAAAAAAAAAGCAAAAAACATAGGTGACGTAACGCAAAAATGGTTACAAATGAAATTCTGCAAAATTCTATATCAGTTCGACTAATACAGAATTTTGTAAATATTTGGTTTTAATCAAGAATTTTAAAAATATGTTGTTCTAGAAGAATATACAGAATTTTTCAGAATTTCGGATTTATAAACATTTTTCGCGTTACGCCACGTATACTTTTGCATTTTTTTTCTGGTGACCACGCAAAAAGGTTTTGCAATTTCTACATGGAAATCTTTTCTGATCCAAAATGCAGTATAAATGAGAGTGCATTTTATTTTATGATCTACAATATTTTCATCCTTGACAGAGTCTTGATAAATGTCCAACATTTTCGCCTAAATATCGCCGATATACACAGATAAATGTAAAAATCACTACTGGATGCCAGTTGTATCAGTATTTGTGTTGCCGGTAGCAAAAATCGTTGTTCGTGATTTTTATATGTTGAACTAAATATGGAGTAGTAGTGATGAAGGGCTAATGGTACTGCTCCGAGAAGAACGAGTACAATTTGTACAATCATCATTTTGCTCAATTCGTTGTTGGCTTTTTGGATACGCCTGTTTATTAAGTGTCTTCCGGTCTGTAATCGCCTACATAGTCTCAAATTTCGAATCGTCAGAGAATTGAAAACGATTAGTAAAACAAGCCCCAAGACCGGTACAAACACGGACATGAAAGCAGCAAATTTTGACGTCAACACATCACATAATTTTTCAGTTGTATCTGACAATATAAACAATGGTAGTAATGAAATCGTCCAGTATAGTAAAGTTACTGAGATATTGATACGGGTTGGAAGCTGGCAGCAGAAAGTTTTTGTTCTTGTCAAATTGTACCGGTGAAAGGCGGATAAAGTGATCAGTGTGAATGATATCATGTGTGAACTGGCGAATACATAAGTGATACATTTACAAATCCACTTTGTATACGGCGCGACAATTGTCATTTTATACACAGCGACATGGGAAAGTAAAAGTGTCGTGATCAGCTGAACGCAGTCGGCTACGGATGAAAAGATCAGATACATTGTGGTGGAATTTGAGCGATATGATTGATACTGTAAGAAAATTATGATAAGAAGAATATTGCCGATAAGACCAGTGACTACAGCAAAGTAACCCACAAACAGTGCCACATGCTCATAGATATTGAATGGTGACGAAATATTGGACATTTTAGATCAAAAGGTAAAACGCTATTTAGTTAGTTAACTTTTGAAAGTGGAAGAATGTCAGGAGAATTTCATGCATCACAACTGACATCGTTTCCAAGTAATTTACGGTAAAATGAACAGTGTGTGTCAAGTAATGAGGCTCATTTACTTGACACACACTGTTCATTTTACCGTAAATTACTTGCAAACGATGTCAGTTGTGATGCATGAAATTCTCCTGACATTCTTCCACTTTCAAAAGTTAGTGGGAAATAAACGTAAGATCGACCTTTTATCAGCGTCATCGCCTCCGCTTTTATCAAAAATTGAGATAATGCTTTTAGATTTAAAAAATATCTCTCTTTTATTCAATTATCATATGAAAAATGACAGTATTCCTAATTACAACGTCCCTGTAATTACAACATCTCTGTATATAATAACACATTGATCAGCCAAAAGTAACTATACTTCTTTGTCTTTTCTTAGTCCTTGAAAGAGAAATAGTGCCATAGAAAAGTAAGAAGAAAACCGTGATGTCAGAGTTAACCGGTGCTGTGTGTAATAGCGCACTTTCAACAGGAAATTAAAACGATCTGAAGAAAAATGTTGTCGATTCATCATTTTCTACAAGATAAAAGCTTAGGGTGAATTAGAAATAAAGAATGTTTCAGTGTTAAATTTGAGAAGAACAAACAAAATATTTAAATCAACATCACCGTATAAATATTTACAATGAAGATAAGAATGAAGTAATTGAAGAGTGCAGCAATTGAAGAGTATATAATTGCTGCGTATATCATGATTAGATTTTAACAAAACCCACTAATTCATGACAAGCCCTCAAAATGTTCACACCTCATCATCAGGAAATAAAATGATCCTGAGAAAAAGCAACAGTACTGCTTAGTGCCATTCTACTGAGATAAAATTTATTCAGAAAACGTGTATATCTTCGAATATGTATGAGAAAAAATGTCATCAATCAAGTTCGCGGAATAAATCCACACTTTTCCTTTCCATTTAATGTCTCACCGTAAAGCGGCGTTCCGGTTCCCTATTAAGTTTCGTTTTTTTATTGTGTATTATGCCTTTTGATATTTGCTAAGTTTTAAAAATTAAAAATTGTGTTGTGTTTTCTATTTTGCACGTCATCCGACGGTGCAGCTGCTACGATTTTACACACAACAACGGCAAGAAAGGGTCGGCTCTACTCTTTTTTCCGTTTTTTCTATCGCTTCGCTGATGATCATAGTCTTTCTCTTTTCACTTAAATTCATGCAAAAGCATCGCAAGTGGTAACGTACGTTTTTGGTATTGTATATTCGTGCTAACTTTCCTTTCTTGTCTTATTCTCGTTTTAGGAATTAATATTTAAGAATTATTTGTGTTCACTAGAAAATGATAATAAGACAATAACATTGATCGTCGGCTGCGGCGGAGCATTAAAGGAAGGAAATGAAAGACATCGTCGTCATGCATTGAATTCTCAAACATTTGATTTGTCTGATTATAATCAGCCAACCTATACATTTGACATGAAGAAAGGAACTGATCCAAAATTAAAATTTAAACAAAATAATGTGATTTTAATGTGATTTTCTTTGAATGCTTCTCAAGCATGAATTCGTAAGCGAAAAAATCTAGATACACTTGCTGGAGTATCGCCCGTATCTAAATAAAAGAGTAAAAAATATCGGGTTATCTAAATGCATCGGGTTTTACTCGATTACACGATGCAATATCCGATGCATCTAGTAAGAAATTATGTTTGATAGAAAACAATAAGAACTAGGTACATCTATAGATGTCGCTATAGCGATTAAGCGTACGGTTCATCTAGCTGTTTAAAAAAAAGAATTGCTAGATACAAAAAGCGTTATAATTAGTTGTAAATCGAGGTGAAAAAAAAAGGAAGAAAGAAACACAGCTCGTGCAGAGATTCGAACTCTGTATCTAGAGATCAGTAGTCTTCTATCTACGCCATTGTACTACACGAGCTTACACAAATAGATACACATTTTTCATTCTCTTCTTGTTATTATGGATAGAAATAACACTAAATTTAAAATAACTAATTAACAATAATAAGCGTTTCTCACCATGATGGAAGCATTTATTAGACTTGAGTCACGAACATGAAATGCTGGAAATATAATTTCCTAAAATTTTTCCACTGATGTTGGGTCTCTAAATGTTGGTCTTCAGACTAAAAAATGGTGTTTTCTGCTTTTTATCTTGAAGATCTAGTTGTACAAAGCTGACCTTGGCAGATAAAATTTAGAAAACTAAATTTGCTACTCATTCTGTTCCAAACTCAAACTTAAGAAGTACTTTGTTCGTGGTGGGAAACTGAAAATCAGCTTTAAAAAAGTGGTTTTCTCGAATTTTCACTGTGAAGGAGATGTTTTCCAAACTTGAGCCTAGAAGATGAAATTTAGCAAATTAAATTTTCTCAATTCTATCTGTTAGGCTCAGCTTTGTATAACTTGAGCTTCAGGGTGCAAAATGATAACTACTGTTTCTCCTCATTTAGAACAAGGTGATTTCTCACTAGTTGCATCTAGCTGGAAATCGCCTTACACCAGATGTATCACTCGATTTTAACGATAGGATGGAATGGAATTGACTTAAACCAGTGTTCAAGCAGATGAATCGATCGATATATCCCACGATGCATCGCCCAATACATGGCACGATGTATCGGCAGCTTTATCGGGCGATTTCACGCGTGTCTCACCTGCAGCCGATATACAACTAGATTCATCTTCCGATATATTGCCCGATGAATCGGGTTAAAATCGCTACTAGATACATAACTAGATACATCTAGAAAAGAATCGGCTGTATCTAGATGTATCGGCCGATAACCCGATTCAACTTTTTCTCTTTTTTACGCATCTAGATGTATTGCGTTTTGTATCTAGTATATCTAGCTGCATCGGGCGATACCCGATACATTTTTCATGCTTGGGTTTCCACCCTAGACAAAAACTTATCTGCAATTCTGATAAAAATATTACTAGATTCTTATCAAATTCTTATACAAGATTGCGCAGGAAAGTGAACGCACTGTGATAAGAGTCTTTTAAGAATCTCATAAAAAAGTCATGAGAATTTCATAAGAAAGTGATAAGAAGTTTCTGACATATTTTGTCCTTACAAGATTTTTCAGAAAAGTTAATTTTATATTGGACGCTGATTCTTTCTTTTATCCGAGAATGGTCGTGTCCAAACTGGAATTCGAGGTTGAACGTATTAAAATGAAGGTGAATCTCAGATCTGAGTTTCAACACGTTCAATCTCAGATCTTAGATTGGCCTAGTCAAGTCTGACGATCTCACAAATAGTCTTGTCTGATTTAGGTTATTGTAAAGCCTGAATTATTTTATTATAATAATCAAATGTTAATATTGTCTTTTCCGGAAATTTTTATAATCGTTAACTTTCGAATAAAATATTTTTTATTGGGAACCTGGCTTCGCACTGAGCTTTTTTTGAAAAAGAGGAATTAAGGAGGAGTGCCACTAAAAAATTCGATGTAAATCCTAAGTTAAAAACACTAATTGTACAAATGTAGTTGAAAACGAAAGCAAACTGATTTACAAGTAAATAGAATTATTGATGACACGATAGATGATGATAGAAAGATAGATAATTGAGATCTAGGAAAGGGAAAAACGCACATATCAAATAGAGAACTACTGATGACTCGCCATGCAATGATAAGAAATTTCTATTGACCACAAAAATACTTCCCATTGGAACTTTTGGAAATTAATGCAAACCAATTTTAAAAAGTCTCATATTAAATTAGTTTGCATTAATTTTTTTCTGATTAAAAATTAATTTGAATTAATTTAACTTGATAAATTAATTCAAATTAATTGAATTTTAACCAGTTCGCATTAATTTATC